AAAAAAAAAATTACTCTGATATGAACTCAACGTCATTTTAGATGTTTGTTTTCACCTGATTTATATATAGTCATATGAAATATGTACATAAGTCTAAAAGAACCATCATGCATCAGTAGCCCAAGTGGTCACATCAATAGATCTTCAGATTTTTCTTTAGCTTCCCACATAATAGCATAAATTATTACCACTTTTTTAATGCATCATTAAAGCAGAAAAAAACTAAAATCGTATTCAACTGAACGTCACCGGGAACATTTCCGGTTATTTCTACAACCTTCTGTGTTGATATGTTTTAAACAATAACAGATTTTGCAAATCTACTTGCAGCAATCATTTTTATGAGCAATTCTGGTCTGTTTTGATATGCGACATGATCAGGTTCCCATTGGAAAAACATTCCAATATGGCGGCTTTCAAGATGGCCGCCACGTTCAAAGCATTGCCATTTTTTTACTGCATCATCATTAAAGCAGAAAAAAACAAAATTCGCATTCAACTGAACGTCACTGGGAACATTTCCGGTTATTTTTACAGCCTTCTGTGTTGATATGTTTTAAACAATAACAGATTTTGCAAATCTACTTGCAGCAATCATTTTTCTGAACAATTCTGGTCTGTTTTGATGATCAGGTTCCCATTGGAAAAACATTCCCCTGATCCAATATGGCGGCTTTCAAGATGGCCGCCACGTTCCAAGCACTATAGGCCCCTTACCTGCTTGTGTATTCAGATATGTCATTTCCCCTTCAGTTTCCTGTAGATAGATAGATAGATAGATAGATAGATAGATAGATAGATAGATAGATCTCATTCGACCTCTCGGCCTCCAGATTTGACTTCTTAACCCTTTAAAGCCTGATCCAAGAATAAAACTAAACAAAAAATGACTTTTTTTTTGTTTGAATTTCTTATTTGGCCTTTTAACAAAATATGTAAAAAGAAAAAACAGAAATACATTTTTTATATTAATAATTTATTACTATGGGATAAGTCCAGATTATTTTTTGTTTCGTCTTCTGCCCCCTGTTATCAGGTGTATCTGATTGTGTACAGTAGGATTTTGAGCAAAGATTTTACCATTAAATTATGCGAAAGGAGTCAGACGCAAAACATTTCAGAAACAGTATGTATCAAATATGATCCATTTGGCATTATAGGGTTAAACTTATTCAACAGCTGGACACAAAAGCCCACATTGAATAGGACTAAATAGATGCTCTATGGAAGGAAACGGTCTGTTTTTGTTGTTCAGTGAGCAGGTTACGTTTGAAAGATGCCGACACGTACACAGCCAGGTCTAATGTAGTGGATATGTAGTGGAGTAAAAGTAAAAGTGGGGCAAAAAACTCCAATGAAGTCCAGGTACTGCATTTTGGTGCTTAACTACAGTACTTAACAGCCTCAAACGTGGAGCCGCAGGTGTTTACAGGTGTTTAAATCCATATTCAAATGGGCCGAGCCTGACAGCCAAACTGTGGTTAACACTGCTCTGAGCTCTGAAATGAAACCTTAAAAGCCCTGAAAACTACTCCATACCTCCTTAAGAGGCTCCTTTTTGTGGTGGGAGGTATTTTGTGCGATCACTGACCCACAAAACAGTCCAGTCCGGCCTAATTTGACTCGTTCTGCCGTTCGACTGACAAGCAATCGATTTATTTAATGATGTTTGAGATGCAAATACACTTTAGGCAAGTCAGTCTAAAGATTATTCTTCAATATCTTTTTATTTCAGTATGTTTTAGACCTGGAGAAGACGCCAAGAGTTTTCCAGAAACACAAAATCTGCAATATTCTTTATTTATATTATTTTAAAAATGGCTCTTTTGTGTTTTTAACATGAAAATGATTCATGCTTAAGTTAGTTTTTGTGATATTATCCAAAATATTATCCAATATTATACATGCTGATATTTTAATCACCTCCTGCTTTATTTTTAACATCTAAACATGTGTTTTTGTTTCCTTTTGGTTGCTTTTTGGTCCACGTGCTGCTAATCTAGTCTATACAGAGGGATGTTTCTGTCTTTTAGCAACTCTTCTTGATTTATGGAGTTTTATTCTCCACAAATGGTAAAACAATGAAAGTGGTAACCTGTTTAATTTAATTTTTTAACCAGGTCTGGCTCAGAAAATGTTTGTTTTTTAAAAACTAAAAAAGATTTTTATGGTTTGATAAAGCTTTTTATGGTATAATAAAGCTTTTATGGACGACACTGCTTTTAGCTGCGTTAAATGCATGATAGTTGCCAAATTTTGGCCTTTTTAGAAGATAATTTCAACAGTGGGAGGATGAAGCTGAATGAAAAAAGCTGTCCACAGAAAAAGGGGAAAAGATTATGATTCATTATTTTTTAATTTCAGCATGTTTTAGACCTGGAGAAGACGCCAGGAGTTTAGCAGAAACACAAAATCTGCAATATTCTTTATTGCTATGATTTTCTAAATTCTCTTTTGTGTTTTTGACATGAAAATGATTCATTCTTAACTTAGTTTTTTTATATTATCCAAAATATTATCCAATATTATGCGTGCTGATATTTGAATCACCTCCTGCTTTATTTTTAACCTCTAAAACATGTGTTTTTGTTTCCTTTTGGTAGCTTTTTGGTCCACATGCTGCTAATCTAGTCTAAAAAGAGGGATTTTTCTGTCTTTTAGTAACTTTTCTTGATTTATGGAGTTTTATTCTCCACAAATGACCGGTTTAATTTCAGTTTTTAACCAAGTCTTGCTCCCAAAATGTTTGTTTTCTAAAAACCAGAAAAGATTTTTATGGTATAATAAAGCTTTTTTAATGGTCGACACTTCTTTTAGCTGCGTTAATGCATGATAGTTGCCAAATTTTGGCTTTTTTAGAAGATAATTGCAACAGTGGGAGGATGAATTTGAATGGAGAAGCTGTCCACAGAAAATAGGGAAAAGATTATTCTTCAATATTTTTTTATTTCAGCATTTTTTAAACCTAGAGAAGACGCAGACAGAGGGATTTTTCTGTCTTTTTGCAAATGTTCCTGATTTATGGAGTTTTATTCTCCACAAATGGTGAAACAATGAAAGTGGTAACCTGTTTAATTCCAGTTTTAAACCAAGTATTGCTCCCAAAATGAACTAGAAAAGATTTTTACGCTTTAATAAAGCTTTTTATGTTATAATAAAGCTTTTTTATGGATGACACTGCTTTTAGCTGCGTTAAATGCATGATAGTTGCCAAATTTTGGGCTTTTTAGAAGATAATTTCAACAGTGGGAGGATGAATTTGAACAGAGAAGCTGTCCACAGAAAAAGTGGAGAACACAGGATATTAGACGTCTTCTGACTGTGTTTTTTTTCTCCTCAGGCTCCGTCTCCAGACCCTCCGACCCGGCCTGAGGCCCCTACGCCCGAGGAGAAAAAAGCTCTTCCGGGCGCCGTGAAGCTGCCCGGGCCCGCGGTCAATTTATCCGAGCTGCAGAACGTGAAGAGCGAACTACGATGGGTCACCAAGGAATAACCGGTGGGTTTCCCTTATTTTAAACAGGCTTTTCCTGAATTATTTTGAGCCAAAGCTGCAACTTTTTAATGGGAAGTCCATGTTAGTCCATTCACTATCACTTA